AAAAAAAAAAAAAAAAAAAAAGCAGGAAGCTACTGTCCTATCTATATCCCAAATAATCTCATTTTAGAAACTGTCACTGAGGAAGGGGGGATTTTAAAAGGATCATATGTATGTATCTAGTAGGGAGAACGTTTTAAAAGGCCCCCTCTAACGTTGTTTGTATGTTATTAAAAAAAGAAGAAAAGCATACAGCTGTTTTTTCCATTACAGATGAAATTACAGAGTGGCATTTTAAGTTGGGATGAAATTAATCTTTTTAACTTAATGTCCTGGCAATAGCTATACTGGATTCCAAGCAGAGGAGATGGTTATTTCCCCAACACTACCAATGTTTGTTGAATACCTATAATCAATTGGAAATATTAAAAGCAGTTGGTTAAGTGTCATTAACAGGATGACATAAATCTACTACTCTGTATTTTGCAATGTGCCTTGGTTTTTTGTTGTTATTTTGGTCTGTTTGTTTTCTTTTTTTGCCTGAAAAAACACACAGATATTATCTAGAGATTATAAGTATTGTGGGGAAAAGAAAGAGTGGAGAGGATTTTACTAGTGGAGTCAGGGTCTACATAGTTACCAATTTCATATTCCTTCTGGTAAGCTACCTAGTCCAGAAACACAATCAGAGCTCCTTGGAAAGTGGATACACACTGTTATCTCCTTTTAAGCCACTTGGCAACCACAGCTTCCAATGGAAGCCCCATATTTCTGACTGTTAGTTAGATGCAAACTCTTAGCCCTCTGTAGTCCATGTTTACTGGGGCAATGAGGAGCACAGATGGGACTTCCTAACATCTCCAGTATGGTCTGATGCAGCATAATGGAAGCAGACATCATACGGAACTGCTGCAGTTCTACAGGATTCATTTAAGTTCTTCAGGATGCTCACACATACCCACAAAATCAACCAACACAGTATTTACCTGCAAGCTACAGGCATCCCTTATGGTGTTAAAGACAACAGACATAATGCCAACGTATATGCTCACTTCTGCAGTGAGACTAATGGAGGGCCAGGGCATCCACGTGGCAGCTATAGTGTAGCTATAGTTGTGGTGTCAGATTCAACTCCTCTGCACCGGCAGAGTGCTCAAAGAATCCAACTGAAACCACCACCTTGCTGCTACAATCTGCTTGAACTCTGCCGAGCAGTCGTGTATAATCTATTCCCGCTAGCGTAGAAAATACCCATCCTTCACATCGAAGTGGGACGATATACACCAAACATACAGCAGCCATTCTTTCCTATAAGTGGGTAACAAAATATAGGTGTCTCAAAGGACAGCTGTATGTTATGTGTAAGTGAGTTGGGTATATCCCGGGTGACCTGTGGAGCTCCTAGTACATTGCAGACTAGGATTCATTGTACTCAGCAGTGTTCAGTTCATTATAGGAAACGTAGTCTATCATGGTATATAGTTTAGGTATATAGTTTATTGTGGAAAATTGGTATTTTTACTTAGAGGAAAAAGCAAAATCCATACTGAGTATTCATTTGGGCCATGAAGAGACACCAGATATGAAATACAGCGTATCTGCCTGCAATCCACACAAAAGTGCACACACTGCATCTGCTAGTTTGGAGACTGTATCTTTGATGTAAATGGCAACATTACTAAGACCCTTCTTTGAGAGAAGGGGCCAATATAATGCATATCTCAAGGGTATACATCAGGACAACCTCTTTTGTATATATTAGAAGAAAGAATATATTAGGGAAATGCCTTTTATTTCCAGAAAAGCTAAGAAAAAGGGAGACTTTTGAGAGCTGGAGTGTTTTTTGCCCTTTTTTATTTCCCCTCGAACAGTAACCCAAGCATGCGAGCAAACAGGGGATCTGCAGCACAGGCACAGCAGCAATCTCTCAAGCAGCACTTTCCATAAACCTGGGTTAACATCTGGACCGGCAGCCATGTGGAATGAAGAGTCGAATCTCTGATGCCCGCTGCAGTGCAGCAAAGCACACACCAACGACCCCGGGGCACTCCTCCTGCTGTGGAGGCTCCCATTGACACGTGAGCTGGGGACAGAGAGGTTTATCCTCTTCCAAATGCCTGCAACTCATGTTGCAGGCTGAACTTGCTGGGTTTGTCACCGAAAACACAAAGCTTCTCTGCATCTCCTGATGTATGTTTAAAAAAAGCAGCAAGGCCTTTCACACAAGGTTCATGTTCTTATTGTTTGCTTGAGCGTTTCTGATTTGTTGGGGGGAAGAAAAGACCCTTGATGTACGAAGTTGGGCTTAACTCCCCAGAGCCCAACTCTCCCAAGGTAACTCACTGCTTCAGGGTACTTTACCTTCGTGTGGGGCTGGGTCTTGATGGAGCCGTATTCATATTTCTTCTTTCCGCTGCCTTATTAATATCTGAAAAGAATAATCAACCCATCTGTTCAATGCTACGGAATAAAAACAAAATCATCAGCACATTTCAAATGAAAGCAACAACAAAAAAACTACAATGACAACCAGATGGTGTAAGAAAATCCATTCAGCAGACACACTGTCACTTGGGCAATTTTTATTAAGTTACGGCAGTACATTGTCACGGTTTCGTAAGGAACGTCCCTCAGTTTTCTAGCTGACACAGTTTGTATAAAACGGGTTATGTCAATGCTTAACACTCTGCCAAGTCACAAACTTAACAACTGCCCCTTCCAAAAGGGGAAACGGTTGTCTTCTAAACTCTTGGAGAGCCAGCTCTAAGATTCTTTTTTGAGGGAAGGAGAGTGGGAGAAAGAGAAGGAGAGAGTTTAAAAAAAAAAAGAACAAAGGCAAATAATTCCACTTTATGTGACAAAGAAGTAACAACTGGACCCTGCTGTCTTAAAACTTCCAATATCCCATGAAGCAGGCCTACTTTTAATGTGCCTTGTGTTGCATCCCATTAGATAGAATCTTCCAGAATGACATGTAGGAAATTAATTTTCTTCCTAAACAAAGTATATTATATGTTAACATCTATAGCCCTCACAGATAAGTAGCTAAGAATAAGAATTGGCATTTGGTATAATAGGGTTAGATAACAAAACACTTCACATAAGAAGTTTTCATTAGAGAAGACTGGCATTTACAACTAGGTAACGGAGAACAGTGGAATCGTACAAACTTACTTAGAAAAGCCAATTTGTGCAGTTAAAGCCTGCTTGCTAAATACAAATCTGCTTTGCAAAAATGAAGTGAATAATAAAAACACCATGTATAAGAAAGAAATGATGAAGTATCTAAAGAAATGTACCCATCTATGTCCAAAGATAACACAGACCAATTTTTATATGACTTAAAAATGAATAAATTCATTCATAATTTCATTCTTTAGTTGAATGAAGAAATAAAACTGTGTCCTGCTATGGTGTAGTTTTGTTCCCCTTGTTCCATATTAAGTGATTAGTAGTGTATCTAATGACATTAAATGGTATTAAGCACTCACCTAATTAGAGTGCTTTAAAATTGTAATTATGTATTTAAAAAATTCCAACCAGAGTCCTATGGTGTGAGAGACTATAGTAATAACCAGAAATTTAAGAGGTCTGGCACAGACTTTACCCCGCTATGTTGTCAACTTTTGAGTTCCTGTTCAAGTGAGAACGATCTTCACTTCCATTTTAAGTCAGAGTTTCTATTATGTCTAGGAGAAGAATGACTTTTGATAAATTGAAGGTAACATAAATTTAAACAGTAAGAGAAGCACAGTCCACCCTAAACTGCCTCTCACATTTTCAATTAAGCAGACACAAGCTATCATCCAGCTATATATCCAAGAGAAATGAAAACATGTGTCCAAAGACTTATATGCAAACTTTCATAGTAGCATTATACATAATAACATATTCAAAACTGGAAACATTTCAAATGTCGGTCAACTGGTGAATGGATAATCAAAATGTGTTATATCTATAAAACGGAATACTACTCAGCAACAGAAATAAATGAACTACTAATAAAAAAAATCAGAAAATAATATCTATATAGGACTTGGCCTATAATCTCTGATCATGGCTTTGGTATGGCAAGTGGCACTTTCGCAATTTATAACCCTCAAAGTTAATGAACATCTGAATTACACATTATATAATGATAGGCCTTACAGGGAACACCTAACTCTCTTCTATGTAACTGTGAAGAATATCAGTTCAGGTTTAGAAGGGCCTACTGACCTAGTCTGCTCTTTAATATGGAGTGACCAAGATTCAGAGAGAAATGTAATCTCTTCGATTGTTGAGGTAGTTTTCAGAGTATCTCTGGAATACACTGAGGGTGGTGCTGGTGGTGTAAAGATTTCTTCTAAATAAACACTGTAACTCCCAGTAGGATTCTATATATTATTAACTGGTTGTGAATAAAGAAAACTCACCTAAACATTGATTGACTTGAACATTGATTATGTTAGAGTACAGAACATAGGGTACTCTTTTAGTAGGGAAGTTTCTATCAATGCCATATAATTTACCCATATGATATGAAAAGGACTATTACATTGTGTAATTATATCCTGTTCTGTGAGCACCTACATATAGGACTGCAGAGACCAAAGCAGTCATGTATGACATACCTCTGGGGCAAAACTGGTTCCAGTTAGACTGAAGGAGGTAAATATTTTACTTTGAAGTTACTGAAAAGTTTTTGTAATTATTTGAAATATTATTTAAAATTCAAGAATAATTTATCTTTTTGTTTTTTACTTATTTTTATTTTTTAGAGAGAGCACATGCACAAGCGGGGGAGAAGCGCATAGGGAGAGAGAGAATCTTAAGTAGGCTCCATGCTCAGTGTGGAGCCTGACGCAGGGTTCAATACCACGACCCCAGGATCATGACCTGAGCTGACATCAAGAGTTGGACGGACGCTCAACCTACTGAGCCACCCAGGCATCCCAAGATTATTGTATCTTTAAATGATTTTGATTGTAATTTGCCCCCTCATCGAATAGTCTAAAGCAATTATACTTTGATGATGTGACTTATGTTTCTTCTGCAAAAAAGAGAACTCTCAGACCATTTTCTTTTTTCCCTTACGCCAAGTGTTTGGTTATTCACAGCTATTTAAGAGTTCCTTATACTTCCATCTTGGATGAGTTATAGAGAAAATGAGACCTGGAAATTTCTGATTGTTTCAGTGCCACCCAAGAGGGCTGCTCAGGTTACAGGAGAGCTGGGGGGCAGGTTTCAGTGAGAGTTTTGAAAACAAAACTATCGTCACCACCAATCCCAATACACAAAACATCCTAACACATGGTCACCCAGAAGTTCTGGAAAACCTATGAGTTCAGAAATACAGAAAGAATAGAGAAGCTACAAAAGTACAAATAACTTCAGGGAGCTGATCAGACAGTATAGCAAAGATTTAAAAAGTCAAGGGAAAAAACCCTTGCCCCATTACATTTTTTTTTTTTTTTACAATTTTTTGTTATACAACTTAATAGCCCATCAACTGGGAGGCTGGAGGTTCATTTGAACAAGTTTCTCTTTGAAAATGCAAATACTGGGACTGGGAAAGAGGGCTTTTGTATTAATTAGTTGAATCAGATTATTTTCTTCCTACATCCTTTCAGAGACATATAGTCCTATGCCAAGGAAATAGAAATGACATTAATGTAAAGGAAAAGAAAAAAAAGAAGGAAAGACAATTTGGGCACCTTTCTGGACATTAGGTAGGGAACATAATGGGAGAAAATGTAACCAACAAGAGGGTAGTGGAAACTTTAATGCTTCTTTCTCCTCCTGCTCTATCTCATTCTGGCCAAATGCCTGTAAGATCAAAAGTCAGTCTCTTAGCGCCTCTTTCACCTCGGCCTGGTTGGTACCTCTATACTTTGTTAACTATACTAGCAATGTGAGCACCACTGGAAATCATCATCACTACGAGGTACCTTGGCCTGAATATTTTCTAAGTGGTTTTCTGAAAATGGTTAAAAGCACTTTTCAGGTAAGGATTTTTAGACAAGAAAAATAACACCAACTGAAGGGATCTACATAAAAGGAAAAAAATTAGAAAATAATCTAAAAAACATGATGTCACAGAGAAAGTGGCAGAGCTGTTTTAAGTCACAAAAGACTGGGTTAAAGAACTTTCAAAGAACAACACAATGCCTAATGTACAATTTTATTTTAGACTAATATGCTAGACAAGGTTCACACAATGGTTTTTGTATAATGCTATAAATAAAAATGCATGTTTCATTCACAGCACCAAGAGCTGCTTTGCTCTTTTTATTAAAAAATTTTTTAATTTTTTTTTTTTTTTTTTT